AAGACTAGTTTTAGAGGTCTGTAAACTACAACAGAGGTCTGAAGACTAGTAACAGAGTTCCGAAGACTAGTTATAGAGGTCTAAAGACTAGTTACAGAGTTCTGAAGACTAGATACAGAGTTCTGAAGACTAGTTATAGAGGTCTGAAGACTACAACAGAGTTCTGAATACTAGTTACAGAATTCATAAGACTACAACAGAGTTCTGAAGACTAGTTAAATAATTCATAAGACTACAACAGAGTTCTGAAGACTAGTTAAATAATTCATAAGACTACAACAGAGTTCTGAAGACTAGTTACAGAGTTCTGAAGACAAATGTTACAAATGCATAGTAAGAAAAAGATTTCACTCTCGAACTCTGAAACCAGCATTGCTGGTAAAAAATGAGACAACTGCACAAGGAGCAGAAGTGGGACTTTGTGGTCTCAACTGTAAACCTATATCAATTTATTATTGGCCAATCGGCAAACAAAGATTGTGCAGGTGGACAGAGTGATAGAAATTCATATTAATAGATTGCAGTTGGGCGGGCGGGGTCTGATTGATAGGGGATGAGTTGCGTGTGGTTGAATTAATTACTCTTTTCGATATACACACAAGGTACAGCAGCATAATGTCAATGATTATTTCAATCTTCAGAATCCAGCATGTTCAGAAAGTAAAGCAGTCGTCACCTTGATGAATCCTGGGATCTGCACATTATTACATTTCGTGATCAGGTCTAGTTCTCAAAGACTGAATCAGAAATGTTTTTTTCTTGACGAGGACTAAGAGTTTATCTTTTGACAAGAAAGAAACATTTGTTTAAAAACAGCAGTGAGACATGCCGTGTGAACCGTGAATCTCTGTACATCATCAGGATGATTCTTAGCAACTGCAGACATGAGGGGCAGGCGTCTGGATTTTGGATTGATTTTATTTTGTGGGATTAAAGTAAAAACTGGTGTCTCTTTTTGTTTCTCTTAATTTCTCAAAGATTTGATTTGGTGTAGACATGACTAATTATCTTACTTAATTCATGTTGTGCCTCCTTTATAACCACAACTCTCTTTTTTACATTTCAGTTTCTGCAGCTGGTCAGTGAACTCATCATAAGATCATATCTGTTGATACTGTGTTATATTTTAGATTGAACAGACGTGCGTTGGATTTTCTTTGTGGAGGTTGAGAGACGCTGATCAGCTCAACATTTTGATCTGATTTCCAGGTGATGAATGTCCTCTGTTTTTTGTCCTCCCTCAGCTCTCAGGACTTTCACACCCCTCCTCCCTTGTTGTTCGATGATGAAGTCTCTCGGGTGGGTTCGCTGGAGGCCCAACCCCTGCTGGTCCAGCTGCAGCAGCTCTCAAAGGAGAAGCAGAGTGTTGAGGCAGAGCTTCAACGCTGTCAGGAGGCAGAACAAGAGGCCAACGAGAGAGTCCGCAGGTCATATTCTACCTTCACATACTTCACGTCTGTTGACATGGTTTTATACTTAAATGCTGCTGAAAGAGCGAATACAAAAATATATGTAGTTCATTATTTATTTTGAGTTGATGTACGTAAAAGTGAGGACCAGCCAAAATGTCCTCACTTTCCAAAAATGTCCTTGTGTCCTCACAAAGATATAAGTACAGGAACACAAAAACACAGCATTGATCACATCTCCAGCTTTAGATGATTCTTTGTAATGCTCACCACTGATTGGTCATTAAAAAAAACCTCAACATGCAGACAGAAAATCAGAAGCATTTTTGACTGTTCCCTCATTAAAAATTGAATTGGATCCATGTTGGCATCTGTGGCTCAGACTAAATGAAGATCTGTTAAAAGGCCTTAGTCAGTACTGTCAGTAAATTCAACAGGTGGAAATATGAACACACACAGGACAGCTCCCCTACTGTAAGATTACATGACGGACAATAATCAATATAGAATTCTAAAGTCCCGAAGTGAAATTGTTGCATACTTTTTATATTTGTTGACACTTTTGACAGATTTATAATTTCTGTAATTGAAGAGAAAATCTGTATTTGTTCATTGTGCTGTAGTTCCCCTGTCACTCTTCATCAATCATACACAATACAATGAACTTTATATTTCTTGTCATTTTGTTTTTCTGCGCTTTGTTGCGTTGTTGCTGCTCACAGGTCTAAAGAAGGAAACAAACTACACAGGTTGTAAAGTGACAGTGAGTCAGAAACATGTTGCTGAGTTGAACAGAGACTGCGATGTGTTCACAGACTGTTAAAGCATGTGGGTATAAAGAGATTTGGTTTTGGTGATTCGTATTCAGCTGATGGTGTGAGTGTCTCTGTCGGCGAGTTGATCAGGAAGAATTAATCCTTCAGATTTCGACTCGTGCAGGATGACGGTCTGATGCTGAATAACGTGACTTCTTCTTCTGCTGCTTCTCATCTCATCAGCCTGAAGATGAAGGGATGAGATTCATGATGAAAACAGCTTAAGTCGTCCGTCTGCGTTCCACGCATCCTCCTGGGCTCAAACCCACGGCTTTCTGCTCTAATTTGGCTGCCAGTGGGGGGGACGGCCAGCTCTGAAGAGCCTCCCAAGTTTCTGAACAGTGAAGAGAGGAATATTTGTTCTCTGGAGGGGGGTGATAGAAATCTGCTGGTTATTAGAGATATAAGTTTAATTTGGTATGGAGAGAGAGAAGGAGAAAGGGAGAGCGAGCCTCATTGATTGTTAGAAAGTCATACAGGGTCACATCTCCACTTTGTCTTTTTCATTTCAGTCTCATCTCAGTTTCCTGCTCAGGTTGTCAGGACCTGATTGGTTTCTGAGTAAAGATGTTTCTCATTGTTGAACATTTGGTAAAAATGTGTCTGTGAAAATTCTCAGTCATTCAGGTCATGGTATCTTCAGAGGTTTTAAAAGTGTTTTTGAGGTATCGACCGCCATTTCTATGGGTAGAAACATTGACTACAGGATGGAACTGTAACTACAGGTAGAAACTGTGACTACAGGTAGAA